GGCAGTTAGTTAAGACCATGTGGGGGTTCCCTTGACAGTGGGTTAAGACCACATAGGGTTTCCAGTGGCACCCGATGTAAGACCTTGGAGGGTTTCCATGGCATCCTTATATGTTTGTATGCATGACTTATGTGGTATATGTAGCTGATATAGCTAATATGGTTTATGTGATTATGTGGATTGTGTGGGGTATGCTCTGCGGCATGCACTCTCTGTTGTTTCATTTGGGACACTCTGATTTTATGAATAATTTATCTGATGTTATGGATTTTGAAAACAAATGTGTTTGGAATTTTATATATTATGGAAATGTTTTGGTTATTTAAAATGAAAAAAAATTATTGGAAATTTGGGCCGTTACAGTTTCAATCTTTTTGATCGCTTTCAACAGAGCATCACTTTTTATTTTATTTAATCGCTTCTTCCCCGCTTCACTGTCTTCGGCGGTGTACACAAAGGTTCCATCACATACAGGCAACTGAATTTCATAATTAATCTTAGCAGTTTGGTATTTTTCCACTGCTCTTCTAGCAAGATGTGCATCATGTTTCTTCCTTCTCTCAGTAAGTTATGATTCAGAAAATATGGAAATAGAACCAATAACAAATCATCCTCACCAAAAACACTTTTCTTACCTTCACCCGTCACAAAAACAAATCACTCTTCTCTCGCCACCTAGTTGGCTTTGTAACTCATAAGTAGTAGGACCTGAACCTCAACCGGACCCTCCGTAGAGCCCAGTTACAACATGAGTGGTTCTAATTGGAACACACAAGTGGCCTGCTCCCAAACCTATTTTCATTTCTAGTTTGGTGGGACATCCAAATGATCCTTGACCTTTAATTCGAGAATTAAGAGGCCTCACCATTATTGTGGTAGCATAGGCTACTGTGGTAGGGGCCATTTTAGCAAGCATGCTCTTTTGGTCCTTAGAGATGTAGTAGGGGTAATCTTCCTTTTTGGTGCTGCTGATTTAACTTCCTTCCATAACATTGGAGCCTTCAAGATTATCAAGAACAACAGTAGTCATTTGGATAATTGGTTCAAGATTCGATGACTCTCCTAAGTATTTTTATTAGCACAAGAGAGTCCCTCTCTAAAAGTTGAAGCATAGATGTGGGAAGTATGAAGGAACCCGATGGTAACTTATCGTTAGAATTTTAATGCTTCATGAAGGTTGGCATAAATCATTCTTCGTCTTCATTTCATTTAAGATCTCCACACAAACTTCTAATAGACGAAGTCCAATGTTGGAAACTTCCACAAGCCCCAAAGCTCGGCTTGTTTTAAACCACACACAACCTTATCCACTTTGTAATAATAGTGTGAATTTTTTTTCTCAAAACCTAGAGGTTGTTGTTGGCATACCTCTTCCTTTAGCTAACCATTAAGAAAGGCGCTTTTGACATCCATTTGATATACCTTGATTTTCTTATGAGTAACACCCACAAAGAAGATCCTTATGGATTCCAATCGAGCAATAGGAGCGTATGTTTCTTTATAATTGATGCCTTCAAGGTGACGAAAACCCTGAGCAACAAGTCGTGCGTTGTTTCGAATTACAACTCTAGAGTCATCAACTTTGTTTCTAAATACCAACTAAGTTCTAACTACTTTTTTTCTTGGTTTGGGAACTAAGGTCCAAACTTTATTTCTCTCAAATACTGGTAGTTCTTCTTGTATTGTTGTGATCCAATCTGATTCATTAAAAGGTTGTTCGATTGTCTTAGGCTCAATCGTGGATAGAATGGCTGGAAAGTGACATTTTTATTGAATATCTTTGGTAGAACGAGTTTGTATGCATGTGTTTGGATTACCAATAATTTGATTTGGTGAGTGATTCTTTGTCATTATGTGAAGTCGTGGAAGATCTCGTTCTTCAACTGTTGTTAAAGGAATGTTTGTTGTTTCATTTTGTTGAATTCCAGAGTATCTTATATTGGATGTGGACCAACATGGGAACAATATGCAAATGATTCTTTATAAGAACTGTTGATATGTTGACAGAAACAATATCCATACCTTGATCACCATCCGTATCGTGATCAACATCCGCATCAACAATGTTGATGTATGGATCTGCATCCACAACATCATCACTGGATGTTGGAAATACTTCTTATATAACAAACTCTCCCTTGAAAGTATCATGTTTCTCTCCCTCAACTATGGATATGATATTATTTAAACCTTGATTCACTTCCTTAACAGATGTGGAGGGAGCACCAACAACATGAGTAATAGAGATAATTGGAGCAGAGGAGCAGATTGGATAATATCCCTCAGTTATTGAAGACGATTATCCACAAGTGCAAACCACTCAAGATTGATTGTAGATTCAATAGGACCAAACAATGATTCAAAGTCGAATTCAATGATATAAGGAGCAACATTGGGAAGGATATCACTTTCATGAATGTATGTAACTTCTGTTTGATTTATATCTTGTCTAATGTGATGATCATCAAATTCAACATCAAAGCTTTCACATGGTGAGTGATTACATAAATTATTAGTGTTCCACCTATCTAACTTGTATTGAGTAGATGTTTTATATGAATGAAAACCACAAAGATAATCATTAACTAAAAACATCCTATAATAGCCTGCATATCAATCAAATACGTTATGGAGTGCCAAAATCCATTATGCTTCTCTAAGATCTCCTTTGTTTCAACATCTTAGAAAAAACAAATTAAGAGCTTGTTTTTCCGATTGAGTGTTGTACGCTTACAAATACATAGACAGATAAACACATAGGTACATACACAAATACATAGAGATATATACGTAGTTCCATATAATAAACAAAAAAAAAATTCAAATAAGCATACAGTTATAGTGAAAGTAGGATGATTTTTTTACTTTCAAATGAAATACTTTCTAGTGGAAAAAGATCAAAAGGTTGTACTAAGGTTGGTCATTCATGCTGGTGTGTGGTGGCATATGTTCGGTAGTGCTAAGAACCTTCATAGCAGAAGTAATAAAAAAATAAAGTATTGAAGAGATAGATTGTAAAAAAATCAAGAAAATATGTTGAACCCTAAAATCAATCCATTGACCCTAATGTTGTCTTCGAAATGGAGGAGCAACATAATGGTGGTGAAGATGCAGGTTTAGGCAGATAAAGTGGACCAACGATATCGATTTTTTTAGAATGTAGTACAAGGTTGCGATTGCTGAACGTCATGATGGTGATGGAACACATCTACACTATATTTTACGTCTTTTTGGCTTCATGTTTTTTGACATTATTAGCCATCAACGAAGATGTAGAAAAATGGCAACGGTGGTCGAGAGAAATTGTAATGCAAGGTGAGAAAAAGAGAGTTTTTTGGTTTAGAAGCGGCGACATCGAGATAGATGAAACATAATGAATGTTTGTATTCTTTGGATAAGCCTTGTGATTCTCTTGTGTTTGTATCCCGAGAAGGTTTAAAAAAGGCGATTGACTGATTGGAAGACAATGGCGGTAAGTATAAACCTGTCTAACTCCAATTTCAAGCCGACTCCAAAATTCTACTGTTTATAAGACGAGACGGTTTTACATATTATATATAGTAATAAATATAGGTGTATAAAAATCAAAATAAAATGTCAAGATGGTATAAATATGACATAAAGGGAAAAAACAAAATTGTTTAGGGACCATAGAAATAAAAGTTTAGTGATATGGTATATTATGTTTGGTGGGTACAACTAGTTTAGAGGTCGTATTCTTTGAGTTTTTTTATTGCTATTTTTAACAAGTTAAAAGTTAAAAACGAGCTCATAAGCTAACTTTAAAAAAAAAACTATTTATAATAACTTTTCAACTAGCTTATAATTTTTTTTTAAAAAAAACATTGCCTCATATATATCTTTTCTTAATTAAGGTAAACATAATTTTTATATATCCTTATATATCATTTTATATTTTTTAGAGTAAATTACACGAATGGTCCCTATGGTTTGTGGTAATTTGAACGTTTGGTCCCTAACTTATTTTTTTAACTCGGAAAGTCCCTACTATTTGTTTTTGTTACAGACTTGGTCCCTACTGTTTGTTTTTGTTACGCACTTGGTCTCTGTCTTATCTAAAAAGACTTTATTTAAATAGAAAAAAATGGTGAGTTAGGTAAGGTAAGGTGAGGAGGGTCGGATTGAGGGTGTGTTTATTTAAATAAATTAAAAAATCAAGGATAAAATAGTATTTTTAGGTAAGACAGGGACCAAACGCATAACAAAAACAAACAGTAATGACCTTCCGAGTTAAAAAAATAAGTTAGGGATCAAACGTGCAAATTACCCTAAACCGCAGGGACCATTCGTGTAATTTACTCTATTTTTTAGTTAGTTTGTTGGTTAATTTTTACAAAATATTAATTTTTTATCGGCTAGTTCATCAAATATTATTTTTTAATATTATTTTTTATCGACTAGTCATCCACTTAAACTATTTTACTTGTGATAGCTAATTATAGTAGTCTAAGAAAAAAATGAGACCGTAGTTATAAATAATAATTAATTACCATCAAAAATAATATCGGAAGTTGATTCAGCAAAATTCTAACTTTCTCCCTATATTTAATTACACGTTTTTGTTTTTTCTAATGATTCCATTTTCATCCTTGTATTCCTTACAATCACATAAATCTTGATTGAAATTTGAAAAGACCAACCATCATAGACGTTATACACAAGTGGAATTGCTCGAGTTGAAAAGTCAATATACTACTTTTCTTTAGTATTGATTTCGTTTTTTGTGTTTGACCACAGCTCATATATAATTGATAGTATTAACTACCAAAACTTGATATGGGCGTAAGATGTCAATCCAAAGCATTCTAGATTATTCAAACTTTGCAGCCACCGTTCTCCATTTCTTCATTGAATTCAAAGCCGGGTGTATATTATATAACCATTTATACTGTGAATTTAAAAAAACAAGCCTGTATTTCTGTTTTTCGAACTTTCTCTCTCTCTAATTACTAAGTGTTGTTCCAAAATCCATTAAACAGATGGAAGATGAAACGGTAGACGTACCCCGTTACTTCATGTGTCCAATTTCACTTCAGATCATGCAAGACCCTGTTACGGCTGTCACTGGAATAACCTACGACCGGGACAGCATAGAGCACTGGCTATCCACGGCGGAGGAAGTACTGTGTCCCGTCACCAAACAGCCATTGCCAAGAGATTCAGATTTGACCCCCAACCACACGCTTCGGCGTCTCATCCAAGCATGGTGTGTCACGTATGCTAATTATGGTATCGATCGGATTCCCACCCCAAAACCTCTTCTTAACAAATCTCATGTTATGAAACTCCTCCGCAACCTGAAGTCACCGGAGCTTCATGCAATCTCGCTGGACACCTTGCATTTACTCGCAAAAGAGAGTGACAAGAACCGACGGTGCTTGATTGACGCAGGCACGAATGGTGCAATGATTTCCTTGATAACAAAGTTTTATAAGGAAAGTCTGATTATTACTGTAGGACTCGGCCAGACACTCAAAATTCTTCATCTTTCTTGGCTAACTGTCCCTGAGAAAAAGCATATCGCCAAAGAAGATCATGATTTAATTGATTCTTTACTATGGGTTTTAGGTTTTGACAACATGATAGGAGATGATCTGATCGTTGATGTCCAAACACATGCAATTTTGCTGCTCGAAATGGTCATGGAAGTAGCGAGTACAAGTGTTTTAGAGAGATTAAGGTTCAATTTCTTTAAACAAACAGTAAACGTCATAAGGAAAAGAACCTCACCACAAGCAATGAAAGCAGTCTTAAGAATGTTAATCGACGTGTGCCCTTGGGGAAGAAACAGAATGAAAACCGTGGAAGCTGGTGCAGTCTTCGAGCTGGTGGAACTAGAGATAAACGGGGTTGAAAAGAATGTGTCGGAGTTACTTTTTTGTCTCATGGCTCACTTGTGCTCATGTGCTGATGGGAGAGCTCAGTTATTAAAGCATGCCGGTGGTATTGCAATGGTAGCTAAGAGAATGTTTAAGGTTTCACCAGGGACTGACGATCGGGCTGTACAAATACTTTCCTTAATTGGAAAGTTCTCAGCAACTGATGAAGTTGTGGCGGAGATGATGAGAGTTGGGGCTGTGTTGAAGCTGTGCATGGTGCTTCAAGTCGACTATGCGCCTTACGTAAAGAAGAAAGCAAGAGAAATATTAAAGTTGCATTCTAATGTATGGAACAATTCTCCTTGTATGCCACTTATCTTCTAATAAGGTGATTTTTTTTAATTTTTTTTTTTGTTTGTTGATCGAATTGTATATGATACATACAAAATGAGCCTTGGTATTCATTCAGTTTATGTAATTCCTTTCGTCTTTAATATTGAAATCATAAAGATGAGAATTTTGTGGGGATAGAATTGCTTAAAAAACCCGGTTAAATGCATCATATAACCCGGTTTTCAACCGGCTCTTATGTAGGGCGAGTTCTATGTGGAAATTAAAAAAAGAACCCGGGGTCCTATAAGCAACAATAAAACACGGCTTATATTAGCAGAACGGGGTCATATTAAATTTAAACAACAAGCCGGAACCATTTTTATGGACAAATAGAACATGTTTTCTAGATAAGCAACCGGGTCTTTTTATATTATTTTATTTTTTAATAGTATTGTATTATTAAATAGGTTACAATTGTTATATTGGTAGTTTCTAATTTGAACGGTATACAAAGATCCTCAATTCCTCCTCATGTTAACATCTAACCTAGTACATCAAACTTCTTGAGTTATTTGTTGCAGTTGACCAAAACTAATGTTCTAACGACCTGCTCTAGCGTTTCTGTCTTTCTCATTCTAAGTGAACCACATGTGCATATATGTTCAACAGCCCTATGATGTCTTCATATTTAGCTACAAAAAAGACACATGGTAAAGTTTCTATGATAATGCTTCAACTCACTCTCACTTCAGCTAAGCCAAACTTTGTTGTATGTCCAACCTCATTCTTTCTCTAAAAAAAGGACTCGTGAACAATTTGTTAATATTAAGGATAGATAATGATTCATACTAAATCACCTATTTAATATCAACAATGCCCTCAAATTCTTAATCAAATTCATCATCGAGTTGCCACGGTTAATTAATTGGACCCAACATAAAAGTACAATGCTTAATTTGAATTATGAAAAAAATGGTGAGAAAGCAGTACAGTAAAATGATCTCAAGATTTATGGGTTTCGATTTAACATGTTCTTTGAATGTAATAACATTTATTCCATCGAGTGGTCATGCTTGGATGTTGAAAAGGAAAAAAGAATTTTATGACAACCATTTTTAGTATTTCATCCAATCAACTGCGACTCTTACAAAGAAATCTTGATTTATCCTATTATTGAAATAAAATTATGCCTGAAATAAATGAGAGTGATAACAGTACTCGTTCATTATCCTATCAGGACCAGGACCAACCAAAAACATAGGGTTGGATCAACACCCTAAAACATAACGACGTAACTAATAATGGTTGTTATTTTCATCATATGTAAGTTTAAGAGGTTGATTAAACGTTGATCGTACCATTAACAATATTAAATTAGAACAAACTGAGTTAAATGGTACCAAAGTAATGTTGGGTTATAGACAAAGTATTGCAGTTCTCAAAACGACTCATACGACCATCTCCTAGCACCTTGACAAGTGACAACACAAACAATAATGTAAAAATAATCAAAACGTCATACTTGTGGAAACAAAAATAAAAAGATTTCTTTTTACAAGAATGAACATTTTTTAGATGGAACCTAGAAATTATGTTATCTTATTTGTCTTGTGTATATATCTTTACGCAGGTAATAAATTATCAATGCTTTTGCACAAATGAGTTCCCTAAATGCACCATTTGCTTCTTGTTATTGGTAACATCAATAAAGTCATCAAGCATCTGAAAAATAGAAAAGTGCAAGTACATTGAGAATTAAAGCAATTATCTTATATTCCATGAATAACCTTTTGTCTTCAAGATCAACAACTTCATCTTTACTGTCTTGCTCTACATGAAGCAGTTGTAATTCCATCGACTGAAAGTCTTTAAAGCAAAACCATGAAATATACACCTAAATTTTTGAAACGGATATGATATATGGTAACCTGAGCTCTGTGTGAGTGAAAAATCTGCAACTTCTGCAAAAGTGTTAGGCTGCAATAATAAAGTGATAAATGGTTAAATGTATACAATTTCTACATAAATGTTGATACACCTACAACAATCAAAGAAAAACAACCTTAAAGAACAACATCATAAGTAGGGGCAAAATTATATGAACGGGTGGGGCGGCAAAATTTGCAAAAGGGTCAGCTGCATCCCCAACATTTATTGGCCGCAACACTTAGAGAAGCTTACCTATAGACTACTTATGGAGAGGTGCCTAGTTTTAACTGTTGCTTGGATTGCTGGATTTCAGAACAACAATATACTAAAATGATCCTGCCCTCCAACACTTCTCACCTAGCTGATCCTTACTTGATAGTCTTGAAGTACAATACATATAATGAATAAAATACATTTAATAAAACAATAATCAGATATAGAGTTATATATATAAACCCTAAGAAATATATCTAAATATCATAAAGATCATCCATATAAATCACAACTCAACGCTTGAGGATTTATGGATCGGTAACCTAGTTCTATTAGTCGAGATTCTTGGATTGGAGGCTTAGGTCTAGACATATTGCTTAAGGATTCGGCACCTAGCTTGAGTTACGCTTTTAAGGATGTCTGGATAGATGGTCTAGAGTTTTGTATCCGACATACCCATGTAGAGAGAGTCGCAAATAACGCGATACTATTTATTACATTCTTATAATTTAATATTTTATGTATTTATTGAGCTAGCTTTCATAAATATATCTCATGTTCAATGTATTATGCAAGTTTGCGGAGGCTAGATGATCGACATGGGTATATGGATGGTACTTCCCTTACTGAAGGAAGATCAGGTAGTACCTTACACACCGGAGCCAGAAGACCATTACAATACATGGATGCCAATGCCACCTTCACCCATATTACCACAAGAGTCATTCGAAGACGAAGAGGAGCCATTCGAGGAAGAGGAGCCCCTCGAAGAGGAGGAGTCACCTTAAGGAGTAAATGACAAGGGTCGAAATAATAGGTCTCCATACCCATATTCATCATCTAGTGATGAACCCACATACCATGTTGAGACGAATGTTCAGGTGGAGGATGACACCACCAGGGAAGCTGATTCAAAGCCCTTACATCCAATAGAGGTTCTTGTTAGGTTTTATGTTCTATAACATTCCTATGGTGCACATACAAACATAATAGCTTTGGATCTAAGTTTTCTCTTGTTATACATGCAATAAAAATTTCCAAAGCTTTAAGCCTACACCTAGCATACAATTTGACATATGAATCATAAAAAAAACTAGTTAGAATATTACCTCTTGTTGTAGCTTGTTGAATTTTTTCTTTAAGAGCTTAGCACCGCAAGTGTGATGCCTCAAACGGTTCACAAACACCATGAACAATTGGAGAACAAATGAGAGAGGTTTAGTAGCACACAAAAACGTCCATGTCTTAGAATAATCCACCCTTGATCCGATTTTTTGGCTTTTGTGGGTTATATATATAGTGTACAATTCCAAGAGTTATATGTAACCCTAATTCTTACACTTAAGCTTATGTTCCATAACTTATTTGGACTAATAATTTATGGACTTTCACATAAGCTTAGCCCATTACAAATTAATCATGGATCATTAGCCCAAACCATATGTCTCACTGATTTACACAATCAGTCCTCGTTAATTTAATTAGTCTCTTTTGATCAGTAAATTAATTCCAAATTAATTCTTGATCAATATTAATTAAATAGTATGATTTCTCAATTAATATATATTTTACTTATAATATATTAATAAATCACAAATAACCTCTTAATCAATTATCCATCCTATCAAATTGTTCTGATGAAGGCAACCCGAAATAGACCATGCTACTATCGGGTCAAGTACATACCAATTATAGTTATGGGCTTAGACACCTAATCCAACAGTCTCCCACTTGGATAATTCTAATAACTATTATTGCAAGTACGACTTAATAATCTGATTAGCAATCGTAGCTCTTAAAAGCTGTTGTCGAACTCTGACGCATCCATTGGATAAGGGATCGTATATTCCTCCATTCTAGATATTGTATGAACTGAGACATGGATTATAATCATTCTCTCTGTTCATGTGTTGTTTTCCTATTTCCGATTTATGACAACCGACTAATTGAACAAATCAAATCAGTCCAGGCTTGGCCAAGCGCTTAGGGTTTTCATCACTAAATCATTGAGGGGCCCACGCTTTTATCCCCTTAGGAAAAAAGAAACGGATAAACTTCGACTCATATGCTAGCTCTATTTACTCATTAAATCACACATAATGATAAGTTTTATAACACCAAGTTACTGGTGCGTTTACCATCATCAATGTGAAACCAACTTGTAAACTGCAACTATACGTCCCTGTTTCAAGAATATAAGATATTATCGTCTCACAATCACTCGTGATAAAATCCTTGAAGTGATTCAGTGAGCGTGGGTTTAATCCAATACTCAAATCTTATTTCAAGAGCACTCATGAATGTTTGTAGCAAACTTTTGCTATGGGCGTGTTCGGCACACAACTTTTAGGAGCTTCTGGCTTCTAGCTTTTAAGAAAAAGCTAGTAATAAAGAAAAAGTCTCGTTCGGCAACGGGAGCGTTTAGCTTTTAGCCTAAACAAAAAGCTCCAAAATCAAAAGCTACCCGCTAACCGCTACCAGCTACCCGCTAACCGCTACCCGCTACTCGCTACCAACTATTTTTTGTCGAACACGCCTATGTCTAACACCTTAGACAATCTTACAAAAACTCATTCATGACAATCTACTTTCATAACCTACTCCCAAAGTATGATCGACTGTGGAAAGTTTGAATAATCTTATTATTCGGGAAGTCAAAACATGCGAAGTGAAACACAAGCATAATCGAATCCCATATGGTCACAAAGACTTTGCCAACGATATTACAAAACTTTCCACTGGAGATTGCTAACAAAACAATTCCAAGGAAGCGAAGTCTCAAATTCAAAGTACATTCCTTTGAACATACTTCTTGCATAAAAGTTTCTAATCTACACGTAGATTCTTAATATCTAACTCCCAATATGGAAACATTTCCATATTTGCCATATGACAATGCATTATTAATA